ATCATTGACTCCGATGTGGGACTGACCATACAGACTGCACGGTACAGGAGACAGCACTGCGAGAAAACCCATATGCAGTGCCACTCTGGCATTTGTTCCTGATCACGGTGGGAACATGCTATTCAGAAACTTGACCAGACTAATAGATCTATTCTGCTCCAACTTCTTCAGGTTCTGGTAGTATACAACAATACACAAGATTCAAAGATTTGGGAGGGAGGGATTTAGGCTTTTTAAGGCCATATATCCTAAATAAAATGTGATCCTCAGTCAACAGTATTGTAGTTCTTAAGGTGAGGAGTGTTCTGTTGTTAGATGCGTAAGGCCTAGTGATAGCAACCTTAATTCTGTGACAGAAGTCATCATCTAAAGGTTGCACAAAATAGCAATTGCTACCTTCAAATCTCACTGGCAAGGTGGTAGAGTACAATGCACGTTCTGACATGCTTCGAGAAGTTTGATAGAATTTTGCTGGACCTTATTCACAATTCCTGATGTACAAACTTCGTAATAGAGTCCTGTGTGACTTGTAATGTTTTGTCACATATTTGCCGTGGGATTCAACCCTATATTGGTGTGGCTGTGCTGCATGAAATATTTTAATACAGAGCTAAAATGCTGCCAAGAAAGTTGTTGGAAATGATAAGGCAGGCTCTTTCACATGTCTTCCAAACAGATGCAAAGCATTCTATATATGATGCCCAAACCCAGAGAAAGCATGGCTACAGATCACAGAGCAAGGTGAAGCAATCTCAGTATAAGCTAAAAAAAAAAAAAGTCATGTATCTAATGTAAAGCTTATGTTAGGAATGTTAAAATTATGGAATAATTCTATACAAATTGAGACCAATCTATTTTGAAGTGTGGAATACTCCTTTTTGTTTGGTGGTAGTTTATTCGTATAATAGCTGTGCTTCTTGGACACTGGAGTTTAGGGCCAGACATGTTTATATAATACTGTGTTCACTGGTGCGTAGTATCCCTTTTCTTCTCAACTGGGGTCAGAAGTTTTTGTCACAGATATTTCTGTAAAGAAAGTTATTCTAAATTACATTTCTGTTGCTGGACATCTGGCTGTCTTATATCAGAAGCATTTGGGCTTACGGTCTGAGCCTTACTGTCCTTGAATGTTTTGATAATCTGTCTCCATTTTTCTAAAGACACAGTTTTCAGTTAACTCCATTTTTCTAAAGACACAGTTTTCAGTTAACTTAATCTTTCTGCTCAACTTGTGGTCGGTTTTATAATTTTTTTTCCCCCCCTCCCACTTACCCATTTACTGAATTTAGTAGAGAGTGCTTTGGTTTTATTTTCCACAAAGGAAGTGGCAGCACAGGCAAAATCTGATTTGGTGAGTCACTCCCCCCATCCTGAGGAGGAAGAAAATGGAACGTTGTCAACAGGTGCTCACCAGCACTTGGTGCTCAGAGAGTACTAGTCATATTAAAAGTATGATTATTTTACCTGTATTCCTATGCTTCTGTTTCCTGAGCTGACCTCTGTGAGGTTTTTGGTGCTGTACTTCTGTCTTCTCTTTTAAGGGGCGGAAGCTTAAGTAAAACACTTGCCACTTGTGAAATAAAGGGACTGCCCAGCTGCCTGTGCATCCCGGGATTAGTTTATGACATATCTTCATATTTTGCTACTGCTCTGTGGTTTAGATTTGTTCAGTACTGAATTATTCCCCCCTAAAATGTTGAGATTAACAGCACCTTTTAATAGAAACGTATATTGAATAAGCAGACAGACTTATGTATCGAATAAATGTAAAAGTAGAAGATTATTTGCTCTAAAAAGTGAATTGAATTATTTAATAAAAACAGACTTAGCTTGTCTTGTAAAATATTAGCATGATTCACTGGATTTTTGTACTATAAAGCTTAATAAAATATTTAAAGTGCTGCTTACATGAAGATCTAGCAAGTGCTTGTTAGATGATCAATTTTGAATGGAAGATACACTCTTGCGGATGCTATAAGCTCCCCGTGAGATGAAACATCGTGTAATTGCCAGTAAGTCAGTGCCTGGTCAAGTATTGCAAACAGTTTAGAAATTAGCTATTCGAGTTCCATGGTTTGAAAAGTCAAGGTAGACGGCTGTATAGATAATTAAAATCATTTGTGGATAGATTAGATTTCAAGAGCCTGAGAATTCCGGCGTTATCTGGAAGCAGCCTGGGTTTGTTGTCAGATACCCTATCCGGAGCGTCTCATAGGAACACGGTTTGGCACGGCTCAGCGAGGCAGACAAGATGTGCAAGTCTGATAGCGTTGCCCTTTAAACACTTATCACTTGGAGTTAATGTAGCAGGAGAGTCTCTGACAACTTTGTTAGTAACTCCACTTGTTAAGAGTAGAGAGATGCAAACAAATTTTCTTAACCCAGAGGAAGATGCCAGGCTGGGTTCGGCATTCTCCAGCCAGCCGCTGCGCCCGCTCTGGTGTTGTGCTCGTGGGGTTTGAAGCGAGGGGGGAATGGCCCAGAGCGAGCGCTCGTGCTGTGTGCTGCCCAGGACTCCACGCTGCTGAATTCACACGTAAAAGTTACAATTTTCTGTCCTCACCTTGGTGCCTGAGGTGGGCTGTCAGAGCTACGACAGCTCTCACCGCCACAGATATGCGACCATCCTCTATCTATGGGATTAACGCCTCAAAGGCTTGGAGAATATGGATTATGGTCTCTCGTAGGCTGTGCTGTGCCAAAGCCAACGTCTCAGCTCTCACTTTCTCAAGAAGAAAAAAGGAAAAGATCGGAGTCTGACTGTTTTGTTGCATTATTTGTTAAAGCTTAGGGTATATGGAGTTCCGTTCAAGTGCTCGTATAATGCCAGTTTCCATTTTTAGTCTGTTGAGTCTAACAGCGAGAGCAGGAGGATGTGAAAATTGCGGGTTGGTCAGGCAGCTTCTTATTTTTAACATGGAAGCCGACGTTTAGGAGGAGTATTATTGTGTCTGCTGTATGGCTTCCCTTCAGTCCCCCAAAACACTCCACGATGCACACAGAGAGGGAAACAGCCCCCTTTGTATTTGGCATTTTCGTGAGATTATGTACATACTGTTTGTGAAATATACCTGGGCATAGCATTTACCACACGTAGCCAGAAATGAAAGAGCAGTACCGGTCAAGTGGATAAGACCCTTTATCAGGATTTAATGAATCTGCATGCTTCTGTGAGACCGGGCAATCAAAGTAATGGTGTTGTAAGGTGCAAAACATGTTTTACGTAGGGCTAGTTGTTACTATTTTGGTGTTTGCTACATAGAAAATGTCACAACTTTTAATGAAGTACCTTCTTAAAGAGGATTTAAACCACAAGGGCTTTGTGTTTTGAAATCGTCAATAATCCACTGAGCTCAGAAGCAAAGAAAAATTGGGATGTGCTGTTGTGCATCAGTAGATCTAGTGCGTATCTTTCTGTTGTTACTGCCAGCAAGTTTAATATTGTTCAGAATGAAGTAACCTGTGTAGCGTATTTCAAGGGATCATGTTTGTAATGCAAATATTTTCAAGGAGAGGGCTTATGCCAAGAAGTTCTGGTTCCTCTGTTAACCTCCCGTAGCAAAATCACCTTCAAATAACAAACCTTGTTTATCAACTGCTGGTATTTTTCTCAGGCTGCAGCGGGGCAAATTAATTTCTAGTGTCTCTGAGGAAGCTGCTATACCTGTATAGGTTGGTCCGTTGCTATGCACGGATGCCAGCATGGGTCCTGGAGGATGAAAGTCCCATCAGCTGAGAAGCAGCCCATGTGGTGTACCTGGAGGGCTTTCCCCTCCATAGCTAGCTCGCTTGTTGCTAGCTCCTCTGTCCCATGCTGTATAGGTGGCGTGCAGTAGGCAAACAGTGGAGAGATGCACTTGGCTTCAGGAGGACCTGGGTGTCAGCAGCTGATGAGTGTCTCTTACCTATTAAAAAATGCAAACACCTCTCTAGTTCTGTTTAGCCGTTCCTGCGCTTGGTAAGTTCAAAATTCTCCACAGTGTGCTTTCTTACCATTTGTGGCTATAATGTATTCATTTTGCAGAGCCTAATTAGGTAAGGCCAAGCCTTATGCTACAGACTTGCCAACATAACACGTTGGTGGAAAAACCCCGTGTGCCAAGATCTTTGGCTGAGGTTTTGTTGTTCGTAGAGTTGTATATGTGTGTCAGGAGAAAAACTTCAGGTAGTACATGCAATGCTTGGAGGTTCTTCCAAAACAATGATGCTTGCATGAAGTAAAATTAAAGGATTGTACTGTAAATGGGCTCAGGGAGTAATATTTCTTTTAGAAATTTTAATTGAATAAAAGTAAGTTTACTGGTAACTCACAGAGTGTGTCTTTGCTATCGCTTTTCATTTCTGTTGGTGGCTGTGAATCCTTTTCAGCACTTAATAAATATATTTCTTTAGAGTACTTCCCAGGCTGTAACTAGCTGCTGTATCCATAATCAGATCTTGTTATGGTGAGATTACATGTGAGGAGATAGGAATTAGTGAACTGGGTACTTAGGACACAAAAAAATAATCTTTTAACAGACTAATTTTGGCAAACTTTCCAAAGGTTTGTATCTGAGAGATTGTTGTTTTCTTTGTACTTAACCCAGGGAAGCTGTGATAAGTGTTGTGGGCTATAGCCGCATTGCTCATTACTGACTTTTTAATGGCGTTCCCTGTAGTCTGTAGCAGAAGCCAACAAAAATAAACAGCAGAAGAAAGCCTGTCCCTACTTGTGGGATAAACTCTGAGATACCTCCTCCCCACCATTCCATGTTTTGGGTAGTTGTTTCCTGTCTGGATACCAACGTACCACTAATGTTTGGGGGAGTTCATTCTTTTCTTCATGAAAGTGCCTTTTTTTTTGGTGGGAATGTCAAAACAAGTTTTGCATCTATGACCCTTTGTAGATTGGATGTTGGTAGCTATTCGAAAAATTGGCAACATTAAACAAAAGAGATATGACTGCCTATGCTTCAGCTTTATTTACTTTTATACTTTACCATACGCTCTTTCTTCCACAGGCATTTCCTATTCAAAACAGGAACAGGGACCACACCGCTGTTCAGTACTGCAACGCCAGGGTACACAATGGCATCCGGCTCTGTTTATTCCCCTCCTACTCGGCCACTACCTAGGAACACTCTATCCAGAAGTGCTTTTAAATTCAAGAAGTCTTCGAAGTACTGTAGCTGGAAATGCACTGCCCTCTGTGCTCTAGGGGTCTCGGTGCTGCTGGCAATACTGCTGTCCTACTTCATAGGTGAGTCCCGTTTCTTGTAACTGTCGCCGTGAGGAGGGATGTCTGATGGATCCTGACGGCGGGATGCTAACCTTTAACTAGCAAGGTTTTTTTTGTAACAGCAAAAACCACAGCAGTGATTTAACGAAAACTGCAATTGTTTGGAGGAAAGAGAAAAATTGAGTATTTTGCAAGCGTTCTGTAGCATGACAGTGGGTGAATTAAGTTCAAAGAAGTACTTGAACTGCGATTAAGCTATTTTTATAAAAGGATGTGTAAAATGTAGGCTGTAATGATTCCGTGTGAATACCACTTGCAGCATATCCATGGAACTCTTTTCCTCTCATTTTGCATGAAATATAACTAATACAGCATTTAGGAATGCTAACTATCACTTATTTCAACATTACATACACGTATGTTTTTATATAGAGCTGGAGCAGAAGACTAATACAGACTTTTCATTGCCAGATAGGAAAAATAATTGTCCAGAAGGACAACATGCAGGGAAGATGGAGACTTCTTCCTCTTGTGTGGGTTGTTTATTTTTAATTATTCTCTCTTTTCTCTATTTGTTTGTTAATTTCTATTTCCCAATTTTTATTTTGGCAGATTTATTTTATTTCTCAATCTCTTTAATTATTTAATTTCATAAATGTTCACTATAAATATTATATAATGCGAGGTTTAGGCAGTTAGTGGGAGCAGTGCTTGTCTCTGAGAAACATGTCATTGACTTTAAGGCTCGTTCTGTGCTTGTAACTTCTTCTGTGGCTTTGTCCACATTACTGATTTTTTCACCTCTGAGTCCGTAAGTGGTCTTCAAAGTCTTTTAACTTACTTGTTAATTGGCAGTTAGTCACCATAGTTATGGAAATACAGGCGTATTGGTTGCACTCAGATTCAGAGTCTTAAGAAGTCAAGGAAAGAAAATAGAAAAGGGAGAATCAATCTCTCCTCCCTCTTTTTAAAATCAGTGTAAATTAATAATAAAGACTAGAAGGCCTTATCATCCTTAAATCTTCATTGCCTTTCTTGGAACAGGCTTGCCACATGTCCAAGGCGCAGCGTAAATGTTATAAAGCCTTTGGAGCAGTTGTTACTGGGCTGCAGCTCCTGTATGCAAGAAACTGAGCTGCTGATTAGGTGGAGAAATTCCTTTCTGCCCCTGCAAAGCCGAGCTCCCTGAGCACCCTTTCCCCCTCAGCTGCCAGCCCCAAAGAGCAGCAGGCATGTACGCAGGTGTAGGGCTTGCCACTACTGTCCAGCCCCCAGTCAGTCGCTGGATTTGTGGTTATTTTGTCGGAATGTGCGCAGGAGCATAAAGGTGTGGGTTAGAGTTAAGCTTACGTATGGTTTTTTTCAAATGGGATTGAAATAATCCCATTTATGAAACACATTAATTGCTCTCAGTCTCCATAGTATTGACTCATAAATCATCAGAAGCAAACATCTGCTGCTAAATAAATACCTAAGTACGAAAGAAGGAATTCAGTGTGAAGTATCACTGTCAAGAACAGGGAAAAACAGCCATACAGATAGTAAAATACCAAAGACCTGATTCTGAGCTGAGCTCTACACTTTGCTAGCCCCAAAGCGCCAGATTACTTATGAATCTGAGGGGCACATGAAGATAGCTCTGCCGGATTATTTCTCCCACAGGCACATTAAGAAATATAAGCATATCTAATGCGCCTCTATTCCTGTGTTTGGGAAAAAGAGCCCAGCTTTCCAGTGAGTGAGAGCTTTCAGCTCCACACATCATTTATTCACATACCCGTAAAAAAACTCCAAGTATAGCTGTACAAGATTTCATGGGCGCACGCCAGCTCGCATCCTTGCTGAAATAATGCACAAGGGCCCTCCACTGCCCATAGTCAATAGGGAGCTCTTTGCCTGCTGGTGATATTACACATATTTCAGCTAACTCAGCAATCTAAATGTAAAATCCAGCACTCAGGGACACTCTCTAGAGAACTTTGGGTCCATAAAACTATGAATGGATTACACTCATTCATATATGTGGTTTTTCCCATCTCGACAGATGTAATATCAGAAATACTCTCCTTTTAATAGGCTCTCCAAATACAAATCAGTGGAAATCATTGGTGTGAGATGGAAACTGTCCTTCATCTTGGTTAACTGTTTCATGGCATAGGTGTAAAAGGGAAATGACTGAGTAGAAAATTGGTCATAACATAAAAAGATGGGAAGGACTGTGGTCCTAGGTGACCTCTAGCATCCCGTGACATGCCTCTAAGACTGTGGTCTGGCTGAGGTTTACAGCTGCTGAGGTGGTGTGTCACATTTGTAAAACCAGTCTGAGACACGTTTTGAACTTCACAGAGAGGCATTGCCATGACCGTGAAAATGCTACAGCCTTTGCTGTGAAAATAGGGCAGTACACGTTGAAAAGGGACATAGTGTGGCTGATGTCCACTGTGACTGTGGCAGACCGAAGAACTAACAGGGCCACTCGTAGAGTGTATGGCGCTGTAACCAGGAGCTTCTCAGGAAGGCAGAGATAGAGGAACATGTCATGCCCAGGCTTATTTTAGTTGTAGTGGCTATGGGGTAGAGAAAGCGACTTCAGATCCCACTGCCTCTGCTCAGGCAACATAAGGCAGAAGAGACAGTTTGCTAGACTTCATGTCTGCCTTTGCAGAACTGCTCCGTCAATTACTGCTCCGTGAATTAGCCCAGCCAGAGGAAGGAGCTGCATCGAGAGTCTGGTCTGTCTTGCACTTCTTCCATCACCCTGACAGGAAAGACTTCTATATTCACAAAGCCTGCGAAGAGGAGGTGAGAGCAGAGGATGTCAGCATGGGGAGAGGCCAGAGCAAACGCTGCACTGTAAGGCCCCTTAATGCAGTCTTGGGGGTCACATGGAATTGAAAATATTATTTCAGACTAAAGGAAAGAAAGTTTCACTTCCAGCCTCCCTGCGTAATTCTTGCTTTTCTAGCCTTCGTGGTCTCTCTCCACCATTTTGCAGTGTACAAAATGTTTAAGTTCAACATTCTTTTCAGTAAGACCTGCTAAGTTTAGAGAAAATAGAAGGGAGTTGTGGAAAATCTTGGTCCTTTGTTTAGAGACTTCATCTACTGTTAAGTGGTTGAGAAACAAGGAATTAAGCAAGAGAAACATAGAAGTGCTGAAACAAAAGGTAGTGCAGCAACATATACGGTGGAATTAAAAAATACTACTAGTTTAGAGCAAAGGATTCAAAGAAAAACTCCTTGAAATAACGGGTTAAAGTGATGGTGAATCAGTAATATAAACTGCCTCATTTGAGGATCGGAATTACTCTGGAATATCTTCAAGCTGCTCATTTGCTTAACTGCTATCCATAATCAGATTTGCAACCAAGGAAGAAAGCGACCTATTTTTTTCCACCATGAACATTTTAGAATCCTTTTCCCTGTTTGGAAGGCTAGGAAGAGCAGTCGTAAATTTAAACCATGAAAGAGTAAGAAATATGAAATTGCCTTAGCTTGACCTCTTTCTGTATACACATTCATAGTTTTACCCAGACTTTGTACAGGGAGTCTGAGTGAGAACCAGGAATAGGGTCCAGCTTTACAGTGTGTAAGACAGAACAGAACTTTGTCCTTCTCCCCATGGCTTGCTGCCCCATTCAGCATCCATCATTTACAGTCACTGGAGATGAAGTGTTGTAGAGCAACTCCTGGGTCAGACATGGGCGTCCAAAGTTTTATATGTAAACTTCAGTTTCATATGTGAACTCCATCCTCCAGTTCTACCCTTTGGGATCCTCCCTGTCCACTCTGGGTTTTCTTAAGGGCAGGAATTTGTTGTTCTTGGGTGTGGTTTTTTCCTTACGAAAAATCCACTGTGGAATTACAGAGAAGTGCATCCGTGTCAGGAGGAGTTGTGTGCAATAGGTTGTTGCCTAGCACAGGCTCTAACCGGCTGTATTAAAAGACAGATTGGTACTGTGCTAATTGTTTCTTCCTTAGTGTGGGTGCAACAACTGGATGAAGTTCATGAGAATTTGGGGACATCGGGGCGCCTCTTTCTTTCCTAGGAATTGCTTTGGCAATGGAATCTCCATTGCCAGTGGCACTATCTTGACATTGCCGAAGTCAGTAAAACTCTGCGTGAACTGAAGAGGTGAGCCGTTTCCCTCAGTCGGTGCTGGAATTACACACCACCAGGTTCAGTCAACTGAGCTTGAATGGTTGCACACCGAAAGATCACGTGCATCTGTCACAAATGTTATCTTAATGTCTACTAAATAGGTTTCTGTTAACATAAAACATTCTTTAGATACACAGTGAGACCTGACCTGTTTAATCAGTCTTCTGATTTCCTGACTTCTTCACAGCCATCTGTTGTACTTCCAAGTCTGTTGAGCATTTACCCTCTGTGTACCTTGGGATTGATCGTTTTGTTAGCCTTAGCTCTGCAGTCAGGACAGTGGTCAGGACAAGAATATACACCAGCCAGCTATTCTTTGTGCTAAAGCAAATATTTAAATATGAGTGATAACAGAAGGACATTCATTCTGTTGGGGGGGGAAGTACGTTTGTTTCATTAAAAAGACCACAGGACTGTTTTTATCACCAGGGCTTGCTGCATACAGTTGAGCAAGTCCATTTTGGGCAGAAAAGGAAGCTAACATTTAGACTTAACAGCTAAAACATCTCCTGGGAAAACATATATTATGGTTTATATTTCGTTCTGTGAGAAACAGTAGAAAAACTGCTGTTCTGCTGTGACACAGAGATGGCCATCCAGTCATAACACAAACTGCAAATGAAATGTGAATGGAAAAGAGATAGCAGACTTGAAAGCAGCATTTGATAATTACAGATAAATCATATTTTCCACATTTGTATAAAAATAGATACATTGTGCTTATTCTGGGGTTATTATATTGTGCATTCATGCATTTTGTCCATCTGAAAAATGTTACTGTTTTATCGTTATCTCAAAATATTGAAAGTAAGCTGAAAATTCATATGCTAATAGATTTCTAATAATGGACAACTATCTTC